TTATCCATGAAATCTGCAAAATGTATGGGAGAGATGTGATCTCTCATAAGCACCCCCTCCCCTTACCTTTCATGAGCATGGCCCCCAAACCTTTTCCATTTAGAATGTAAGCTTTCATGAGCATGGCCCCCAAACCTTTTCCATTTAGAGCAGGGCTCCCAAATCTTTTTTTGTAGCCTGTATACCTTCGTGAGCAGAGCCACCAAACCTTTTCCCTTTAGACCAGTGGTTCTCAACCTGTGGGTCGCAACCCCTTTGGGGGTCGAATGACCCTTTCACAGGGGTCCCCTAAGACCATCAGAAAACACATATTTCCGATGTCTAAAGAGCAGCTACTGTGTAGAAAGCAGCTGCTGTGTTGAAAGCAGCTACTCTGTTAAAAGCAGCTACTGTGTTGAAAGCAGCAGTATTGGAGGTAAAATGACACTCATGAATTATAATTACTGGGTAAATAATTTTATGGTTGGGGGTCACCACAACATGAGGAACTGTATTAAACGGTCACGGCATTAGCAAGGTTGAGAACCACTGCTTTAGACTGTAAGCTTTTCTGATCAAGCCTCAATACTTCTTCCTTGGAGATTGTAAGCCTTCCTCAGTAGCACCCCCAATAATTTTCCTTGTAGACTGTATTCTTTCAGGAGCAGGGCATCTAAACGCTTTCACTTTTAGACTACGATTTTTCATAAACAGGGTCTCCAGTTCTTTTCCAATTTAGACTGTAAGCTTTAATGAGCATTTGTTTTGCAACCTGTATATCTTCATGAGTGGAGCCCCCAAACCTTTTCCCTTTAGATTGTATGCTTTCCTGATCAGGCCTCTTTTCCTTGTAGACCGTAGGCCTTTTTCAAGAAGCAGGACAGCTAAACTTTTTCCTTTTAGACTATGAGCTTTTGTGATTTGGGCCCTCAAACCTTTTCCATTTGGACTGTAATCTTTCATAAACATGACTCCCAGATGTTTTTGTAGCCTGTATGAGTGGAGCACCCAACATTGACTGTGCAGCCCCTGGTGCCCTACCTCATGGTACAGTTCACAACTTAGAATGATAAAGTCCAGCATAGAAAGTACACACCTTGGAACCATGAACTGGGTTCCCACTGAAGGGTGTTGCCAGAACAAGACATCTACATCCTAAACAGATCTTCTCATCTCAATCCCCATACTCAGAACAACCAAGAGGCAGATTTCCCCTGGTATTTATGTCCTCCACAAGGAGGCTGCATCAGGAAAACCAGGGAAAGAGCATGACTTAGGAGTTAACTCTTTTCAGCCAGTAATAATTACCATACTTGATATAAAAGAAAATGTTCTGTAGGCATCTACCTACATGGAAATGGAGTAGTGGTGCTGCAGCCAGGACAAGCACTGAATCGATTATAGGATTCAGGTAAGTGTTTATAGGACTAGGGGGAGCTGGGACCAGGAGTGGAGTGTTTGCATTAAAGTAAAAAACATTTTGACTTTAGAGCCACTTTAAATTGTAAACTTTCAGGATCACCCCCAAACATTTTCTTTGCAGACTGTAGGCTTTCATAAGTGGGTCTCCCAAATCTTTTACTTTATATATTTTAATAAACAGAGCTCCAAACATTTTCCTTGTAGACTGTAGGCTTCTATGAGTGTGGCCCACAACCCTTTTTCTTTAGATTGTAAGAATTTATATGTGGGACCCCAAACTTTTTCTCCTTAAAATGTAAACTTTTCTGATCACCCCAACCCTTCAAACTGTTTTCCTTGTGAACTATAGGGCTTCAAAATCAAGTCCCCCAATCTTTTTCTTTCTACAATGTAAACTCTCATAAACAGGGCCCCAAACCTTTACCTTTTGTAGACTGTAGGCTTCCATGAGCGTGGCCCGCAACTGTTTTTCCTTACACTGTAATATTTCATATATGGGGTTCCAAAACCTTTTCCATTTAAACTGTAAACTTTTCTGATTACCCCCAGATCTTTTCCTTGTACACTGTAAGCCTTCATGAGTAGGTCCCCCAATCTTTTTCTTTGTAGATTGTAAACTATCATGAGCAGGCACGAAACATTTCCCTTGTAGACTGTAGACTTCCATGAGTCCCAACCCTTTTTCTTTAAACTAATAAATTATGTGGTGGGGCCCCAAACATTTTCTCTTTAACCTGTAAACTTTTCTAATCCCCCCCAAAAAAAATAAATATAAAAACTATTTATTTGTAAACTGTGGGCCATCAAACGCAGTTTCCCCAACCTTTTTCTTTGTTGACTGTAAATTATCATGAGAAGGGCCCCAAACCTTTCCCTTGTAAACTGTAGGCTTCCATAAGAGTGGCCTCTATTCCTTTTTCCTTAGAGTAGAAGTTGTCATGTGTGGAGGTTTCAAAACCTTTCTCTTTACACTGTACACTTTTCTGAGTACTTGTAGACTGTAGGCCTTCATGAGCAGGTCACCCAATCTTTTTCTTTGTAGATTGCAAACTTTCATGAGCAGGGTCCCAAACATTTTCCTTTTAGCTTGTAGGCTTTCCTGAGTAGAGCCCACAAAACCTTTCTGTTTAAAATACATTTAAACCTCTGCATTGTTCATGCAGTACATTAACAGTGAAAAAGTTAGAGTCGCATAAGTTGCATTTTACTTGTTACCATCCATCCCTACAGAAGGTGCATTTTACTGGAAAGGTGTTCTCATGCACAGAAATTGAACAGTGTGGAACTTCCATTGTATGCATAGAGTATATTATGGATGTGTGTAACGGAACCGGACCCCCAGACCACACTTGGGTATTTCCGTTATACTGCAGCTTCCACCACGAACACCACCACGGACCACACCCGCTGATCATGCAGGAAATAAGACAGCACCCAACTCTTCTTAAGACAGGAAGTCAACTCTTTTATTTTTACACAAAACACAATATATATACACAGGGCGGGGAAACACAACCAGGAACAGGAAACACATCATCAGCCCACCCCATCAGTGGGGAGGGCTACAGGAAACAGATCATCAGCCCGCCCCATCCAACCAAGACACAGAACAATGGGATGTAGCACATGGCAGATAACAATGGACAGCCATGTGGCAGGGAACAAAGGACAACAGGCCAATACACAATAGACATTCACATCCACACCCTGTACCCCTTAACAGGCACAAGGTGATTAAACATAAGAGTTTGGGAAGATGATACAGGGGTCCCCCCACCTCCAAAAGTAAATCCCGTCACAATGTGGTTGAATGAAATAGTGATTAGATCATTTAAAATGTCGCATTAGATAAGAAAGTATTAAATTGGCTTGCAATCTATTCTTCCAGTTAAATGTTTTCACATTTTCATTTCAAGGCATCATGCACATGGGCGGTTTGGCTCATGTGTATCAAAATCCAGTGTTTTGGGGGATTTGGGAGGCACACATGCAGCATCCAGACTTGTTGCCAGCAGCCTGTAAAATTATAGATATACAGTGCTCAGCATAAATGAGTACACCCCAACAGATTTGTCAGAAAACCTTTACTGTCCTTTCAGAATCAACATTTTCTAGTTATTAATTAAACAGGTGTCCAGCAGACAGTTGATAATAAAAAGGTGTTACTTAACAAAGAAAACCCCTCCCATTTCATGCTCTCAGCAATGGCACCACATGGAAGAGAAATGTCAGAAGGCCTGAGAAAGACAATCATTTCTTTACACAAGAAAGGTGAAGGCTACAAGAAGATCAGCAAAGTTTTACTTATCAGTCAGAATACTGTAGCAAAAGTGATACAAAAATTTAACAAAGATGGAACTGCAACCATCTCACAGAGACGTCCAGGCTGTCCATGAAGGTTAACACCTTGACAGGAGTGTCTTCTGATGAGAAGGGTTGAAGAAAATCGCCATGCAAATTCACTGCAGTTATCTAAAGAAGTAGAAAGCCAAACTGTAGTGATTGTTTCCCGTGACACAATACAGCGTACACTGCAGAGGAATGGCATGCATGGGAATCGTCCATGCAGGAAGCCTTTCCTAAAGCCCATGAACAAAAAAGCCCACCTAGAATTTGCCAGGACCCATGGTGAATAAGAAAAAGCCTACTGGGACTTAGTACTCTGGAGATAAATGTTTTTGGAACTGATGGCTTCAAAACTGTATGGTGTCGCAAAAGTAAGGAGTACAAAGAAAAATGCATGGTGTCTATAGTGAAACATGATGGTGGCAGTGTCCTTCTGTGGGGCTGGGTCGTCGTGCACTTTTCCAACATGACAATGATCCAAAACACACATCTAAGGCCACTGTTGCATTTCTGAAGAAGAACCGGGTGAATGTGATTTAGTGGCCAAGTATGTCTCCTGATCTGAACCCAATCGAACACCTATGGGGAATTCTGAAGAGACAAGTTAGGCATCACTCTCCATCCAGCATCCAGGCTCTAAAGGAGGGTGTTGTTGAAGAATGGAAATAGATGTTGTAATATGTCACCAACTTGTTCATTCCATGCCTCGAAGACTTGCTGCTGTCCTTACAAATCATGGCGGTCATACAAAGTCATACAAAATACTAGATGGAGTAATTTTTGTTGTGGGGTGGATTCATTTTTGCATTAGCTAATTTGAGTAAAACTGAAGATTTTGTAATCTAAGTTATATTATTAACCTTACTTCTATGTAATGAGCTAAACAAATGTTTTATAAAACTCTTTTTATAAAAATTTTGTCAAAATTTGGTAAATCGTTCTTGTGTTCATTGATATATTAATTAAAATCTTACTTTTCAAAAGGGGTGTACTCATTTATAGTGAGCACTGCATATACTTAATATATAAAAATGCAGAGGCTGAGCGCTGTGCTAAACAAGGCTCTTGTTTAGGGCAGCAGAAGGAATTCCCATTGTGCTGTTTGCTTTTTTTTCATATTTTTATATGTGGATTTATGTGTGTTTTATATTTTTATTTTATTTGTTTTGTATGTATTTTACCTCCCTTTTCTATTGCAGAACTAGGAAAACTAGGAAACTAGAAAAAAATCTGTTACAATTAGAATACTGTTACAATTAGAAGACGCCTATGTGAAGCCAAGCTATCTGCAAGAAGTCCCCGCAAAGTCCCACTGTTGGAAAAAAGACGTGCTGAAGAGGTTACAATTTGCCAAAGAGCACATTGACTGGCCTAAAGAGAAATGGCGCAACATTTTGTGGACTGATGAAAGTAAGATTGCTCTTTTTGGGTCTAGTGGCCGGAGACAGTTTGTCAGACGACCCCAAAACACTGAATTCAAGCCACAGTACACTGTGAAGACAGTGAAGCATGGTGGTGCAAGCATCATGATATGGGGATGTTTCTCATACTACAGTGTTGGGCCTATTTATCGCATACCAGGGATCATGGATCAGTTTGAATACATCAGAATACTTGAAGAGGTCATGCTGCTTTATGCTGAAGAGGAAATGCCCTTGAAATGGGTGTTCCAACAAGACAACGACCCCAAACACACCAGTAAACGTGCAACATCTTGGTTCCAGACCAACAAGATTGACATCATGGAGTGGCCAGCCCAATCCCCAGATCTTAATCCAATAGAAAACTTGTGGGGTGACATCAAAAATGCAGTTTCTGAGGCAAAACCAAGAAATAGAGAAGAACTGTGGAATGTAGTCCAATCATCCTGGGCTGGAATACCTGATCACAGGTGCCAGAAGTTGGGTGACTCCATGCAACACAGATGTACAGCAGTTCTCAGAAACAGTGCGACTACAACCAAATATTCATTAAGGGATTCAAAGGAAAGCAAAATCTTCAAACAATTTTCAGTTTATATAGTGAATGTTTGAGTTTGTAAAGAAGAATACAAACACTGCTATTTTTTTGAACAGTCTAATATTCACTTTTCTTCCATTTTTTTAGAGGAACAACACAAATGCGATATATTTTTTCTTCATGTTGTGATTTGGAATAGAATGCGTCGTGTTCCCAATGCATTTGTGTGTATGGAAATAAAAGCTATTAGAAGGATTTTGAGCTTTATTCACTTTTTTCAACACACTGCTATTATTTTGAACACAACTGTATATGTAAAGTGCTGCGTAAAATTGACGGCGCTATATAAGTACCTGAAATAAAAATAAATAAATAATAACCCGTCAGTTTTGTTTGAGAGCAGAGTTGTGGGAGGGCCCCAACAGACCCACTCATTAAAGACTGCTTGCAGAAAACTACAGGAGGGGCAAAGACAAGACTAGTCACCCTGCACAGGAAGAGAGAGCAGCAGTGAGCGGTCTTTATTACAGGAAGAAAGTCTCTTATTGGATCACTGCACAGATCTGGAAGATATACACAAAGCACACCAAGATTCAAGAATACACCACAAATGGATTGAGATCATTTTTGCTTATCCCGGAGTTCAACTTTAACTGCGTTTTTTTCTGTTTTAGTTTCTACTTCCACATGATCTCCCATTTCCATGGATCTCTGCAGTATTCTATATATAACACTAAATCACAGGACTAAGTGAGGTTTTCTTAGAATGCATTGTATCATTTTACAAAATGTAGCTGGAGAAACAGGGAACTGCATGGAAATCTGACCCTTGGGTGACATAGACCACTTATTAGTACATTTATTTTCTGTATACCAGGCCCATGTATAGCACAGCACTTTACAGACATTCACCATTCACATGCATTGCTGCCTAAGAGGTAGTTTCGGCTCTGAAGAGTGTTTGTACTTTAAAGGATAGGTTCACCTTTGGAACATGTTATATGTTACACCCAATTTTAGGGTGGAACATGTAACATGTTACATGTTCCCATAGCTGCAGCCGCGCTCCACCCACACAGCCGCGTCATTCATTCATGGATTTCTGTGAATGAATGAACTGCAAGTCCTGGCAGCCTTAGCGACTGTCAGCTTGTAGTTTTCAATGAACTACCACGGCTCTGTGTAGCACCGTGGTAGTTCATTAAGTGTTCTTGCATGGCAGACCACTTACTGTTATCTCACATATATATTCTTATTATTATTATAGCCAATTTTACCACCCTAACTCCTCCCACAGTTTTTACACTACATAGACAGTAATATACTGAAACGTGTGGATTGTTCCCGATTGGTGTGCCATTACTTTGTGGAACGTTTCGCCGAATGGTTCATGAAATATCGCCGTTTTTGTGGTGAAATTGGTCCCATAGGAATGAATGGCGGAATGACCTAAACTAGAGTGGCAGCTGACAAAAGCTAGAGTGTGAGCTGAAAAAACAGGACATGATTTCTAAACTGCCATCACTCCCTCATTTTCAAGCCCACCTACACAAATCTTATATCAAAACGTTCAGCTATCCCTGCTGCCACTAAAAATGTCCACGGCTAAGCCATAGTCCTGATAGTTTTCACAATATGACCATTTGTTTGCAACTCACGCCGCCCATTGACATTCATTGAAACTCCACTGTAGTCACCTCAAATTTGAAGGGCAATATTTAAACTGCAACTGTACCTTCATTTTTAATATTATACTATACATCAAAAATGTAGGTCTGGGTCTTGTGATTCTCACAATATAAAGCTCTTTGCTGTAGGATTTATAATTTTTAAACTACAACTGCTTGAAGATGGCAACTGCCAGTGAAGTGAGCAAGTTGGAGCAGTTTGTTTTTAACCGCTCCTCTCTTCTCCCCTTGCTGTAGAGTGAGTTGCCATAGGAACCCAGGTGTGTGAGCAGGCAGCAGAGTGACAAAAGCTACTCCGCCCACTCCAGTTGTAGACTACTGGTGGAGGCAAGAACACTTCACACAATTTCCCCAGAAATTGTAGCTTTTCTAGTTGAAGCTTCCTGTCAGAATATCTGTTTGTTCGTACATCTGGTACATCCCATACAGCAAGCAGATATTCTGACAGATCTGCAGGGGATCTGCATGGCATCAGCGATCTACTGATCGCTTGCGCAATGCTTTCCAGGCTCCTTTGGACAAAAATAATCAATGCACATTTTTTTACCTGCAGAAGGGGAGGGAGAAGATGAGAGCAGTGGAGGGGTTGCATGCAGAGGTGAGAGCTGAAGAAGGGGTGACAATGAGATGTGAATGGGGGATGCAGAAGTAAGCAGTTGTGGAAGAAAGCTGAACTCTGTACTCTGTGTGTAGCGCACCCCTGAACTCTGCACTATGTGTGCAGTGCACCCCTAAACTCTGCGCTAGGTATGTAGCACATCCAGGGCTGGTGCTAGACCATTTTGTGCCCTAGGCAAGACCAGCCACTTGCGCCCCCCCCCCCCCCCCAATAATAATAAAAATAATAAATTAATAAATAAAAACAGAAAATATGAAATCAACATAATACGAAACTGCTAAATTTCTTTTATTTAATTTGCAAAAATAAGTGCCATAAGATGCCATCAGCACCAATATTAAAGACAAAATATATATTACCAAATATAGATTAACTGTATTAACCAATCAGAGAAACAAACTAAAAAAATGAGACAGAGTTGCAAAACTCCACAGTGATCAGCAGCCACCAGCCGGCTTGCAGTAAAGGACTGAGTCTGAGAGGAAGACCCAGACATCTTCCTCTGTCCTTTCTTCCTCCCCTCTGCTACCCTTCACGTCATTTATGACGTGGCGGTGTCCCACACGATCAATCAGCATCTGCTCCCCTCACCCCAACCATTGTCCACCCCTCTCCTCCTCCTCCTGTCACCTCCATGATCATCCTCCTAGGTTCAGCTCACCTCCGCACCCACCTGCTGGAGTCCAGGTGCATAGTCCAGTACGGAGTCCAGGTTTTGACTCTGAGTGAGGACAGGTGGCCTACCAGCACTACACCACTTCCCTCTCATACACATCGGGCCCCAATCATCCTACTCACATAGGGTTAAAACCCTGCAACCAGATCACACCCCCGCCTATTGATTGGCTCCAGCTGTGTAGAAGGTGGAGCCAGAGCTGGACACACCCCATTCAGTCACTAGCCGACTACCTATTAAAGCTGAAGGATTGTGTTTGTCAGTGTGTGTACCAGAGACTGCTGACCACCCGGGGTCCTGGGTTAATGTCATCACTTCCCATCCCATGCTAGGGGAGCTGGAACTTCACTGCTACATGGAATACTGTCGTATGTATATGTATGTATGTATATATATATATATATATACACACATACATGTTCAGCATAAATGAGTACACCCCCACAGATTTGTCAGAAAACCTTTACAAAAGTTCAAGAATTAATATTTTCTATGGGACGCTATACAACTAAATACTCCCACAAATGCCGGCCATTGATTGCAAACAGGATTTGTTCATTTGCACACACAAAAAGTATTTTTCAACAAATTCATTCAAGACCATGTTGAAAAAATGAATACACCCCAATGAAAGTCTAAAGAGCAAAGCTAAAGTTTAGACAAAACCAAATCCTAATTAACAAGAATTCAACTACAGGTAAGTCTAATTATTTATTAAACAGGTGTCCAGCAGGCAGTTGATAATAAAAGGGTGTTACAAAGAAAACCCCACCCATTTCATGCTGTCAGCAATGGCACCACATGGAAGAGAAATGTCACAAGGCCTGAGAAAGAGAATCAATCATTTCTTTACACAAGAAAGGTGAGGGCTACAAGAAGATCAGAAAAGCTTTACTTATCAGTCAGAATACTGTAGCAAAAGTGATACAAAAATTTAACAAAGATGGAACTGCAACCATCTCACAGAGATGTCCAGGCCGTCCAGAAGGTTAACACCTTGACAGGAGCGTCTTCTAATGAGAAGGGTTGAAGAAAACCCCAATGCAAATTCACTGCAGTTATCTAAAGAAGTAGAAAGCCAAATTGGGATGACTGTTTTCTGTGACAGAATACGGCGTACACTGCAGAAGAATGGCACAAGAAAGGTGAAAGCTACAAGAAGATCAGCAAAGCTTTACTTATCAGTCAGAATACTATAGCAAAAGTGACACAAAAAATTTTACACAGATGGAACTGCAACCATCTCACAGAGACGTCCAGCCCATCCATGGAAGTTAAACACCTCGACTGGAGCATCTTCTGATGAGAAGGGTTGAAGAAAATCACCATGCAAGTTCAGTGTAGTTAGCTAAAGAAGTAAAAAGCCAAACTGGCAGGACTCCATTCTGTTACTGGGAGTGAGGTGGCAGAGGTACACTGGATGGGTGGAGAAGGCATAGGCTCAGTGGTGTCCCTCCTATTCACAAATAAAGTGTGCAGTGACATGGGACTGCACATTTTGCAGAGGGACTCTGTACATTTAACTATTGCACACAGTGTGCGGCTCATTTCTAAGTCAGGGTGCTGCCATAATATTTGATTCCACATGACTGTGGGCATTGACAAGCACGCACACAAAAGGTTCCCTGCGTGCAGAGCGAGTAGGCCCTTTCCCAAAAACCCATTGGAATCCCAGGAGTAAGGTAAGACTTTATTTCCTCCCAAAGTTTTTTTTTTTCTGTAAGGGTACATTCACCCCATATGCACTGGGCTGTGCTAGGCAGCCTTGCTCAATGCAGTCCCAACACACAGTCTTCGGCCACTTTATTAGGTACACCTTCTTAGGTTGGACCCCCTTTTGCCTTCAGAATTGCCTTAATTCTTCATGGCATAGATTCAACAAGGTGCTAGAAACATTCCTCATTAGATTTTAGTCCATACCAAAATGAGTTACTGTTGCCTTTCTACAGGGGCGGACTGACAACTCATGGGGCCCCCGGGCAATAGGGGATCATGGGTCCCCTGTGTCCTTGCCCAAACTCAAAAAAGCCTACGAAAAAAATACCAGGGCATCTCATGGGGCCCCCTACTGACCCCGGGCCCTCGGGCAGT